CAATTAGACAGACGAAAGAAATTAAAGGCATCAAAATAGGAAAAGAAGAACTTAAATTATCACTATTTGCAAACAACATGATTCTATACCTAGAAGACCCAAAAGGGTCTAAAAAAACCTACTAGAACTAATAAATGAATTCAGCAAAGTGGCAGGATATAAAATCAACACGCATAAATCAAAGGCATTTCTGTATATCAGTGACAAAACTTCTGAAACGGAAATGAGGAAAAACACCCCATTCACAATATCCTCAAAAAATAAAATAAAATACTTGGGAATCAACCTGACAAAAGAGGTGAAAGATTTATACAATGAAAACTACAGAACCCTAAAGAGAGAAATAGAAGAAGATCTTAGAAGATGGAAAAATATACCCTGTTCATGGATAGGCAGAACTAACATCATCAAAATGGCGATATTACCAAAAGTTCTCTATAGGTTTAATGCGATGCCAATCAAAATCCCAACGGCATTTCTTGTAGAAATAGAGAAAGCAATCATAAAATTCATATGGAAAAATAAAAGACCCAGAATAGCAAAAACAATGCTAAGCAGGAAGTGTGAATCAGGCGGTATAGCGATACCAGACTTCAAACTATACTACAGAGCAATAGTAACAAAAACAGCATGGTACTGGTACCAAAACAGGCGGGTGGACCAATGGTACAGAATAGAGGACACAGAGACTAATCCACAAAGTTACAACTATCTTATATTTGATAAAGGGGCTAAAAGCATGCAATGGAGGAAGGATAGCATCTTCAACAAATGGTGCTGGGAAAACTGGAAATCCATATGCAACAAAATGAAACTGAATCCCCTCCTCTCGCCATGCACAAAAGTTAACTCAAAATGGGTCAAGGAGCTTGATATCAAATCAGAGACTCTGCGTCTGATAGAAGAAAAAGTTGGCTCCGATCTACATATTGTGGGGTCGGGCTCCAAATTCCTTAATAGGACACCCATAGCACAAGAGTTAATAACAAGAATCAACAAATGGGACTTACTTAAACTAAAAAGTTTTTTCTCAGCAAGAGAAACAATAAGAGAGGTAAATAGGGAGCCTACATCATGGGAACAAATTTTTACTCCTCACACTTCAGATAGAGCCCTAATATCCAGAGTATACAAAGAACTCAAAAAATTAAACAATAAGAAAAAAAATAACCCAATCAACAAATGGGCCAAGGACCTGAACAGACACTTCTCAGAGGAGGACATACAATCAATCAACAAGTACATGAAAAAATGCTCACCATCTCTAGCTGTCAGAGAAATGCAAATTAAAACCACCCTAAGATACCATCTCACTCCAGTAAGATTGGCAGCCATTATGAAGTCAAACAACAACAAGTGCTGGAGAAGATGTGGGGAAAAGGGTACTCTTGTACATTGCTGGTGGGACTGCAAATTGGTGCAGCCAATTTGGAAAGCAGTATGGAGATTCCTGGGAAAGCTGGGAATGGAACCACCATTTGACCCAGCTATTGCCCTTCTCAGACTATTCCCTGAAGACCTTAAAAGAGCGTACTACAGGGACACTGCCACATCGATGTTCATAGCAGCACAATTCACAATAGCTAGACTGTGGAACCAACCCAGATGCCCTTCAATAGATGAATGGATAAAAAAAATGTGTCATTTATACACAATGGAATATTATGCAGCACTAAAAAATGACAAAATCATGAAATTTGCAGGGAAGTGGATGGCACTAGAGCAGATTATGCTAAGTAAAGCTAGCCAATCCCTAAAAAACAAACGCCAAATGTCTTATTTGATATAATGAGAGCAACTAAGAACAGAGCAGGGAGGAAGAGCAGGAGGAAAAGATTAACATTAAACAGAGACATGAGGTGGGAGGGAAAGGTAGAGAAAAGGGAAATTGCATGGAAATGGAAGGAGACCCCCATTGTTATATAAAATTACATATAAGAGGTTGTGAGGGGAATGGGGGAAAAAAACAAGAGAGAAATGAATTACAGTAGATGGGGTAGAGAGAGAAGATGGGAGGGGAGGGGGGATAGTAGAGGATAGGAAAGGTAGTAGAATACAACAGTTACTAATATGGCATTATGTAAAAATGTGGATGTGTAACTGATGTGTTCTGCAACCTGTATTTGGGATAAAAATGGGAGTTCATAACCCACCTGAATCTAATGTATGAAATATGATATGTCAAGAGCTTTGTAATGTTTTGAACAACCAATAAAAAAATAAATAAATAAATAAAAGTTACAGAAAAAAAAAATTTCCACCCACATTCTTCCAGGACTGCAAGGTATCTTATAAGAAATTAGGCTGTGGAAAGTCTTTCTATGGTTGAGCGTCCAAAGGCTCCATCATTTGTTCTTCATCTCTGAGTCTCCTTTTTGGCCTGACCCTTTCTCAGTGGTGGCACATTTCGGTATTTCAAAAAGGCTTAAGAAGGAAGACAATCAAATGGGTGTGGAGTGACCTACACAAGTCACCTATCTTAAGAAGGATGAGTCTGAGTCAGTGGATATTGCAGACAAAGGATATTCTTCTCCTTTGTTCCACCAGATGGAGGTTTTATTGCTCCCTGCCAGTCCACACTCCCAGAAACAACCTCCTTTTTTTTTTCTTTTTTAACACCTCAGGCCTTCTTTTTAATGGTTATGGTATAATTAGTAGAGCTAGAATCCTTTTATTTTATTATATTTGCTATGCTGGCCTCATCTACTGACATTGAGAAGAATACAATGGTCTGAATCATGTGCCTTGTGCCAAAGAACTGGGGTATAACCTTGTTCCAGAGGGGTGCTCTCCACTACTTCAAGACTCCTGCATATCCCAAATCCACACAATTAAGGAATGTCCTCCAAGGACAAATAAACTATAAAAAGGGATGAAGATGCAGGTTTCTTTTTTTCTACTTGGCATTGACTTTAATATCCCCAGCTTATTGGGTATGAGATCCAGAGGCCAGGGGTGCAGTTGATCATCTTCAGTGTACAATACCCCACAAGAAAGAATCACTACAAAATGTTAACAGTGATAAGGATGAGAGATTCTGAGATAGAGTACAATTTAAAAGTTGTTACATAAAGACCCCCCCAAAGAGTAACTCAAACAAGATAGAAATATGTTTGGTTTTGTCTGAGATGGAAAGGTAGCTCTGTCACATCCCACTACTCTATTGCCCTTGTCAAGTGGTTGAAAGCTGCCTTTCCAGCTTTGCTTAACATTCTGATCGACATGTATTCGTTTACTCGGGCTGCCATCACAAAATGCAGTGGTTGAAACAAGAGAATTTTATGTTCTCACAGCTGAAACCTAAGATTGAGGTGGCTGGTGGATTTGATTTCTCCTGAGGCCTCTCTCCTTGGCTTACAGAGAGCTGACTTCCTGTATTCTCACATGGCCTTTTCCCTGTGTGTGCACACCTCTGGTGGCTCTTCCACTTCTCATAAGGACATAAGTCACAATGGATTAAAGCCCCACTCTCATGACCTCATTAAACCTTAATTATATCTTTAAGAGCCATGTCTTCAAATATAATCGTATGGGGGGTTATGGCCTCAATATAAAAATATTTGACAAGACCACATTTTATCTGTAATACCATGTGAAAGGAGAAAGAGAATAATCAGAAGGAAAACAATTTCACTTTCAGGGATATTACCTTGAATTTGTATAGATGATTCCTTTCCACCTATCCTTGTCCCCAAACTTAGCTGCAATGCACAACCGAACTACAAAGAACTCTGGGAATATATTTTTAGCTTGGTATCTGTGCAAGGAAAGGGTTATGGATATGAGGTGTCCCCCAAAAGCTTATGAGGGAGACAATGCAAGAATGTTCAGAGGCAAAGTGATGAGATTATGAGACATACTCCAATCTGTAGATTAACGCACTTGAATGGATTGGGGTGGAAACTATAGGCAGGTAGGTTTGGGTGAAGGAAGTAGGTCACTGGGGGCATGCCTTTGGGGGTTATATTTTGTCCTTTGTAAGTGGAGCTCTCTCTGTTTCCTTGCTGCCATGTTCTGAGCTGCTTTTCTCTGCCATGTTCTTCTGCCATGATATTCTGCCTCATCTCAGGATCAGAGCTATAAAGTCGGCTGACCGTGGACTGTACCCCTGAAACTGTGAGTCAAAATAAACTTCTCTTCCTCTAAATTGTTCTTGTCAGGGATATAGGTCCCAGCAATGCAAAGCAGACTAAAACAGAAAGCTTCTAAAGGAAGAGGGATAATTATAGACTCTCGGAAATGATAGTTTGGTCTAAATTTTTTATTTAGCATTTTCCCCATACATTGCCTCTTGGACTTCCTCCAACTCTCCAGGCCCATGTGGTAGTGCTACTTGTTATTGCACAGGACCTAAGTACTACAGACACTATACCCATCTCTAGGTCTTTCATTACAGAAGAATCATAAAACTTCAGCCATAAGAAAATACTTTGTATTTTTGAGAACTGTTGTTTTGAGTCCAGGCAAACTTATTCCAACGTGAAATAACAAGTGTCTCTTGTTTTGTCCTTAAAATTTCAGAGAATAGTGAGAAAAGCTCTACACCAGAGAAGAGAAACTGCAAATGCTGATATCCTTTAAATTAACTTCCTTTTCTGCCAGTGAACCCTTGGAACTCTATCTTTTATGACTGGGATTGAGATGTGGTCCCTAAAAGCATAAACCTTGAAAAACCATCCCTGAATAAAAGATCACCTGTTAAGTATATTAATAACTGCTACATATAATATATATTTTAAAAATGACTATAATAGCAATACACTTTGTTTCAACATATATTAACTCAGTATATATTGACATTGAACAGTTATAATTTCCAGTCAGTTTATGCGGCTAATGGCTAAAACAAGGCCATCATCCAAGTCATTTGTGGAACTTCTCTAGCAGACCATATTTATGTGAAATATCATTAAGCCTTAATGGGATTTATGGAACAATCACTGAGTTGGAAAAGGGCGACCTCTAACACTCTCCCTGAGCACGAAAGAAAGCCAGCTCACCGTTCTTCTTGTAGAACATAATTTCTCCTTTGAATTCTGTTTTTTCCTCCAGTGATTTTTCTATTTGAAGCATCAGCTGCTCATTGGTTTCAGCACCAAATAAGAACTTGCAGCTACAACTCTTCTGCATGACTTCAGTTCGGGCAAATCCAGCAAGCTCACAGAAGCCATCGGAACAGTAGACTATGGGGAAACCTTTAGCCACCTGGGCGTTGGCGAGGATAAAGTTGCTATCTGCAGAAAAGTAAGGAGAAGATATTCAGCAACTTAAGAGTCTTCTTTAAATGACAATTCCAGCAACAAATTCCAAGCGCATGTGTTTAACTAATGTTGCATAAAATGCAGTCCTAACGTGCTGTGGTGATAAAGAGACACTCCAGAACAGAGAATGGCACCCAGCAGCAGACAAGAGGACTAAACTCTGACTTTGGCTTACAGTTCACAGGCCTGTATGAGGTGCTTACATCTAGCTGGCAGTAAGGGATGGTGCTTTTGAGGATGGCTTCTGGTTCATATCCTAACTGCCATGTGATGTACAGGTGAACTTGAGCCAGATACTCAAAACACTCTAAACCTGCTTCCTGATATCTTATTTTCCCAAAAGCAGATCCCAAAACTAGGATTTAAGTACAAGTAGTTTATTTAGGAGGCGATCAAGGAAGGAGTCCAGGAGGGAAATGAGATAGGGAAGGGAGGAAAGGTAATAGAGGATGAGTTGAAAGGGGGCTTAGTGCCATGGGTAACTGTGGCTCAACCATTCAGGATCCTAGAAGTGACTGTGAAAAAACAGAACTCAAGATTTTCCCAGAGAGTAGAATATTGATACACCAACATTCACTCCTCATTGGTTAAAGATCACTCCTGGGAGGTGGTCATTGTGTTGGTAATTCTGACCCACTCATACTCTAGAGATATCTTGAGTAGCCAGAGGCCAAAAGTCATTGATATTTAAGGAAATGATCTACACATGACCCCAAGATAAGTCAAGATGATTCTTGCAAGGCCGTGATAGGTATATTATAAGGATTATGAAATTACTTTATGTATGTGTTGTAGGGATTGTGTGGAGGGGAGCAGAGGGGGGTTGCAGGGGAGCAAACCCAGGGCCTTGCACATGCTAAGCATGTGGTCTACCACTGAGGTACATCCTCAGATCTACTGTAGGGATGAATGAGATTACTCATTTAAAGTGCCTAACAAAGTATCTGACACAAAGACACAATAAAGATTATTGTTAAGAGTACTATTCACATTTTTTATTATTATTATTATTATTATTATTATTATTATTATATTAACAAATAAGAATTTAGGGGTCAATCAAAACTAGTAGACTATTATTAAGTATTTAAAGACAACCCCTAAAGGAGAAACTGAAAGTCAATATTAAAAGAAAGGTTCTTGCAGGATGAATTTTGGGTGATTTACTTTGAAGGGTGGATATGATATTTATCCAGAAAAAGCACTGCATGTTGGAGGTGGACTTTAAAATGACGTATTTCTAAAACCTGTTAGTGGTTTTAGTTTTAGAATGAATTAGTTTTAGGGTGAATTAGATACTATTATCAAACCATTCATTAATTTCCACAAGGAACAAATGTTGAACACTGTCAATATACCAATAGTGTTACAGGCTGAGATTTCATTGATAATAAAATTAAAAGTACAAAGGACTATGGGATAAGTTGTTAAATGAAAAAAAGATAAGATTTAATTAGTATGTTATATGAACTATCTGAAAAAATACATATACATAAATGTGTACATATATATCAAAGACATCTACCTAAACATGAATGTAATAACTGGTAAGTGTGGTTGTCTCTATACAATGAGCAACTATGGGAAGAGGTGGGATGAAGCCACATTTTTATGACATATCCTACTGTGTACTCTTTGAATTTTATGCCAGATGCTTTATATATTGCCTATTCAAAAACTAATATGTTTCAAAGAGGTTTACAGAGCAGACAACTTTTGGCACATGCCATGAGGAAGAAGGAGCTCCAGCCACTTCTCGATGGCCAGCAAGACAAGCACTGAACATCTCTATCCATGGGTTTCCTCATTTCCTTTAAGACTTCTGTTGTCCATTTCCAAACATAGTCCAGTACTCAGATTTGTTCCAACCAACCCCTAACCTCAGAGTTCCAATTGTGGTGATACCACCTGTATCCCACCTTGGCCACACTGGCTTTTCCACCATTTTAGCCACTTTCTCCCTCTGAGATCCAGAGCTCAAGATGCATATTTGTAAACTAAATTGTATGCTCTTTTGAAGTTATGGGACTGAATTAAATTATCCCAGATAAATAATTCTCTCGTTTTGCAGGATCATTTATTGACTATATATTAAATGTTGGACTTTGTCCCAGGTGTGGATGCAAAAATGTTGATGTGATCCCTGACCTTAAAGATCACAGTTATGACCCTGTGGGAATTTCCAGCTTGGTCCTGTGGGGGGCACTCTCCTACTGGGGCTGTGGTCTCTCTCAGTCTCACCAACTACAAACAGCTTCAAATCACTCTAACCATAGTGTGTGTCTCTTCTTCCCTTATTTAAAAATGTGGTGGAGAGGTTACTTAGAAAATGTGAATGCATAGCATTGTCAAAGTCCTCACACATCCTGAAGGAATTCTTAATATGCTTTCACAAGCCATTTTCAATAGATCATCAACATGTTTACTAACTTTCTATGATAATGTCAGGAGACATGGTTCTACCATATGGCAGGTCCTAGGGTGAAGGACAGGGGATGTTTAAAGAATAAAGCATGGTGTATAGCTGTAGGATACTATAATCTAATTAAAGAAATGCATGAATACAGAAAAACAATAAAACACACCATCTAAGTACCAATTCAGTGGAACACAGATAATAATTACTATAAGAATTCAGAGATTAAACATCTCACAGCTTGGAATAAGACAAAATAGGTGGAGATGACTTATCGAAAGTCCTGGACTGTTAGGAACAGTTGCTTGGATGTAGTGGGGTTGTTGGATGAAAAGAGAGAACAAAGACTGCATCTTGACCCCAAGTCTAGTTTTCTCATCACTTATATAGCTACAATAGCTTTATTTTGTTATTATTTGTCTGATACATTTTTTTTCACATCTTTCTATTTTCAGATCTCTTAGGTACCCATATTTCAGTTGTGTCTTATGTGTGGTCTCCATTTAAATTTTCTAAGGTAAAATGTGAAAGCATATCCTTCCACCTAAGATTAATAAAATTACTTTTATTATAGCCCCAGTACATTATCTTTAGCTATCTTAATTTTGTTCTCTCTTTACTATGTTTTTGTTATTTTGCCTTTCCCATTTTCAAAATTTGAGCTATATTTTAAAATGTACATTTTCAAACCATAAACACCTGTAGACCATTTATCCAGAGAAGACCTTTGTGTGCACCAGGTATACTTGTATGTCCTTTCCTCTCCAAAGAAGAAACTTAAACATTTGTGATAATTACTCCCATTTACATAGGTATTTTTTTTACCCCTTATTTATTCTCATGCAATGTATTATCTTTTTTCTGATATTTAAGGCATATAACATAGTATTTCTTTCTGTATGTTTCTTAGTGACATGCTTTTTGAATTAATTTCCTTAGCATTTTTATAATTGTTTGCAGACATAAGAGAAAAGGACAAGTCCTTTAAAGCTATAACAAGCTTCTGGGAAAAAAAAAAAGATGCTAAAGGATTCATCAAGTTTCCTGGTCTGTGTGTTTTAATTAAGGATTATAGTGTGTGTGAGGTAGCTAATTCTTCTTGCAAACATACTACAAAAACAAAGCAATAAATAAATAAATAAAGGCATGCACTTTGTCTATTCTGTTTATATTTAGCATTTGTCCTCAATATGTAATTGCATTTAAATTCCAAAGAGAATTGAGTGGCAGCCTGTGCTTTATAAAGCTTAGCGTACTAGCTACATGAATGGTCCTTCTGTTTGGGAAAGTGTAGCTCCTCTGCCCAGCTATCTACTTGGAAACATATGCTTTCCTGAATACAGCCCTGGAATTCCCAAAGAAGAAACATGACATTTACTTTAGAATTATGTAAAACAAAGCCACTGCCATAATGATTAGGCACTCATCATGGGCCTATCCCTATCCATACATATGCTAAGGGTATTTAACCTTTTAAAGAATCAATTATGCATATGTGATATGCATCTAAATGCCACACAGCTTTTCTCTGCTTGTTTCTAGGTCATCTTTTTTTTTTTTTTTTTTTGTATTTGCAGTTTGAAAGTGACAGCAAACAGAGAGATCTAAACACATTTACATATCAGGCAGTTGATTATTTCTCTAAATGCTTCCTTAGCCAAAAGCTTTCATGGATCTTCAGAGGGAATCTCTTTATGAGTAGAGACCCAGGTCATTCTGTCTGACCTCCTAATCTGAAGCACCACTTTCCCATTGAGAGATGCTTTGTTGACTTTCCAAGCACAAAAGGAATGGAGAGGTATAGAAGATACCACCACCACTAATAATAATAATAATAATAATAATAATAATAATAATAATGGTGGGGCTAGGCAAACTCTGATCTATTAACTGTAATCTTTGTACTTGCCTCATTAAAGATGAGAACATTGAAACCTGGAGAGCTTTAGTTTCCTATTGGAAATCCAAAATTAAGAATTTAAACACAGTCTACATCACATACTGTTTTACTCTATCATGTATTCCTTCTTTAAAGAAGTGGCTTGCCCTCTACTACTAAGAAAAATGGGCAAGTTGCTAAAAAATATTTTATATCTTTCTAGTCTCCAAAGTGCCCAAATTTACAGATTCTTCTTTATAGAGATCATTTATTAAGAGTTTAGTTATGGCACCTCTTAAAGCAGTCCAGATCTCTCAACAACCTCTGTCATTTCCTCGTTTCCTCCAGAAAGTCATATTTAAAAAATCTGACAGTAACTTCCTTGGTTCTGAAATATTTTGCATAGGTCCACTCCAGACTCTCATAAGAGGCATAGAAATGTAGTTGCTATTCAAACGAACTGGTCTCCAATCTCCTCAGAGGGTGTTGGGGTGTATCATAGTGCTTCTAAAATTTTCCCATTGAAGTATCCTTCCACTGGACAAAGCCAGTTAGTACATATTCCAAGGGATCTGGAGTCATCACCTTATGTCTGATTGATATTGTTTTGAAATCTCATATTTAATTTAACTATGCAACAGAATTTCGCATTCCACTCTTTAAAAATTCATTCTCATT